ATCTTGAGATGGTAGGCGATGCGACAGTGTTATGCGATGGTTTTTAAAATGGTCCTTGTTGAATTTTCGTGTATTTTCTATTTTTTAGGAAGAAACACGTTATTGGTTAAAACAAAATTTAAAAAAAATAAAAAAATTTCCTACCGAAATACCCATTTTTTTTTTTCTCAAAACGTGGCCAACACAAGAAATTTTTTTTTGCCTAATATGAAAATCAGCATTTTCTTAAAATATGAAATTTTTCCACGAATTAAGGCTTTAGAGTAAAGGTAGGTTAACTCCGAATTCCGTTCGTAGAACGTTTTTTTATGCGCGTATTAGTGCGTGCCTCTATTCTTTACCATTAATTCGACTTTCTTTTGTTTCGTTAGCCATACGAACTGAATTCGGATTCGGTGTGAATGCAGCTTTGCTACGTTTTCGAACCAATGGCATCGGATCTTCATCAGGCAATGCAACTAGCTAAATGCTAACTGTCTTCCCTGTCATTAAGTGATGTTTGACAATTTGCGTCAGCAATGTTTACCAGTTGGATGTTCCCAGAGCCCCAGGCCCTCCAAGATGGAGAAGATTGTTGTATATATGGGAGAGTTGATAGGCTCCATCGTCTCTATTCATGTTTTTTCTCTTCCTCCTAAATCCAAATGGCTTCCCATGTCTTTCTTTCTTTGTAGCCATGACTGTTCTGTTTTGAACTACTTTATCCCTATTCCATTTTGATGTGTGGTTATGTTGTAACATGTGTGATCTGTGATGGCTGGCTAGTTAATGTCTGATGATGTAGACTAAATGTTTCTGACAAGTGTTTGTTTACCGTAAGCACCGCTCTTGAATTTTCGAGAGCGGCGCACCAAATATGATTTTTTTCGCTAAGCGCCGCTCTCAATTAAGTGCCGCTGCGCTTAATCAAGAGTATATATTACCCTGTGTGTAATGAAAAACTTTGAGAAACAGGGTTTTAAATACAAGGTATTCAGTGTTTAAATGAAGATATAACACAATGAAGACACAAGCATTTCTTTATAAACGTCTATTTACGATGATATGGCCTACTGAAGTACGGGAATACGTGAGATAGGTATCATGGGAAGGAGCATGGGAAGTGCCAAGCCAATATATTTTTTTATAAGTGCCGCTCTCGAATAACCGCCACGGTACATCTTTCTTTTGTTCTACTACGTCTCACGCTAAATGGTCTAGACTCGTTTCACCAATATAAACCAAGTCACAATTAAGTCATCCTACATCATAGGTTGTTCCACAAACTTCATCTCTGCCATAACTTATTTTTCTGGTGGACAACCAAATTTCTTTTTTTTTTTTTGTAATGGTGTATAGTATGTGACTATACTATGTGGATGGTTCAAAACGTAGAAAAATAAGTTAACGTTTTGGTTTTCAAATCGCTATAGCTTAAATTAATTTTCATTTTTTCTTACCTATGTTTTCCAGCTTTCCGAGCAAAGATTTGTATTCATTTTCATCGATGTATGTCTTCCATTCATCTAAGAACTGCTGATATTCCTCTTGGGCTAATATTTGTGCTAAATCTTTTATTAGCTTTCCACTAGAATATATTTCCCATAGATGCACCAAAGCATTAGAATTATTTGGTGATAGATAAAATATTATTGATCCTGTTACAGCATCATTCATCTCCAAAGAATGACACTTATAATACTTGTTAAGGTTCTTTAGTATTTCACAAAATTCTGGCATGTCCTTCAAAGACACATTGTCTTTGCTTTCAAAAAGTTCTTTTAGCAACTCAAGAGCATTCCTTCTATTTAGTTGACCTTTAGAATCAGAATATTCTCTTTTAGGGTTGTACATTAATTTTACTTCAAGATCTTAAAATAAAAGATAAAATGATATATAAATCTTCGCTGTGTAAATCAAATAACTAATAAACAATCCACATACAATCTACTTAAAGTAGTCAGTCATCTGTATGTAGAATAAAAATGAAAATTATGAATTACTGTATGACATGCGCTCTTTAGAGTTGTTTTGAGTATACAGTAACTTCTACATTATCTTAAATCATGGAGGTATAAACAAAATTATACCTGATCTCCATGGTTAAATGAATGATGAAGCATTAGAGCATTAATACCATTTTTCATTTTCTGTAGTGGGGTCAGGGAAGCAGATCCTGAATAAAGTGAGGACAGTAATTCCAAAATGTCTTCACTCCATTGGATTAGTACACCTTCCACAGCTATTGCGATGAAAGGAAGATTCATTAATGAATGAATCTCTTTATTTACTGTCTATAAATACCTGAAAGCAATATAATATAATAATAATTATTATTTTCTCAAACACGGGAGGAGGGGTAAGCCAAGAAGGAACACTAACTAAGTGCTCACTAATCAGCTTTTTTTTACAAACTTTAATGCAAAGTCTTTATTACTGGTTGAGGGGTTTATGATTGAATTGAATTTGAATACCTTCCAGGGATGGATCCAGAGATGTCTGAAAGGGGGAGCTGAAAATGGAGGCCATCGATAATCAACACTAACCTGATTTTTGTTTTCTAAACTTGCCACTGATGCGTTTTGGTTTCTTTCCTTTTTTTTTCTTTTTCAAATAGGAGGGCTGGAGGCAGCTCGGCCCCGCCCTAAATTCAACCCCACCCTCTGTTAAAGCATCCACAGCCTGTCGGAGTTTAAAGGTTTTCAATTTTCGAATGAAGGCTTTCATTTTTCCATACATTATCTTTCTGTGCTCCAGATCCATAATTAAACTCCATGTGTCTGCATATTCCTTTGCTGGTGTGTTATACAATCCACTGATCTTTTTTAAATCTTTCTTGTTCAGTACCATTCCAAACTTCATAACTTTTAGTCTGTGAGGTTTGAATTTTGAGATTATTACATCTTTAAATTCTTGAGATGCTGGCAGTACATGTTTGATCATTCCTCGCAAGCCATATTGCTGTGTTATGTTTATGGTATCATAGAGAAGATTGAAATCATTTGCGGCCAGGTTTCCAGAACTAGTCAACAAATCCATTATTTCTCTTACTGTGGTAGCATTATTCAACTCATACTTGTTTCTAACCAGATCTCTGTACAAAACTTTCAGCATATTTGTGTATCCAAGCTTTTCATACCATTCCGAAATAATTTCCAACAGCTCTATGAAGTGATCATCAGTGATTTCTATCAAATTAACAAAATAGAGATCCCGAAGGTGTCCATAATTGGGGTTTCACTGTATATCAAAGTACTGTAGTGTCTCGTAAAAACAATATGATATTATTTGATAAGCATTCTTATTACAGAAAATAATTATCTAAAGCAGCTTTTCAAAGATTTGTTGATTTCCATCATTTTAATCTGACTGTTAGTTCTAACAATGGTTGCTAGCACATTGTCATGTTTTGATTCCAAAATACCCACTAATCTAGCTTAGCATTAAAGCCTAAATGCCCCTCAATAGTAGATAGACAAATAAGGAGCCGAGGATGTGAATGAGTGACACAACACTGTAATGTTTCTAAAACAAGTATTTCTGTGTTTATTGAAACATAAACACTATTCAACAAACGGCGGTTTGACTGACATTATGGTACATTGCCGGTTCAAATTTAAAGACAATAGCCAAATTTTATCAAATTATTTTATTTAAAAATGTTTTGTTTCGATGTTTACATGGCAATTTTCTGATTTTTAAAGTATATAATTTTAACACATAAGATTTTCTGTATAATTTTTTTAGACCCAGATGCGATCCGACGACCCTAAAAAATTCACTCATGGCCCATGGGTTGCCGACTTTAGAATTAGGTTGTAGGTAAAAGTGGCCATGGAAAAAATGGCACCAGTAAAAATGGTCCTAAATGACAGGTAGGTAAAAATGGCCCCAATGATAAAATTCTGTATTAAAACTTTTTTTAAATCTTCCAATTATTTAAATAGTGCAAAATAACAAAACTTGAATAAATCAACATAAATCATTATATGCATTTCTTGAAACTGAAATAATTTAGTTTTTAAAGAGAATCTAATATAAGATAAGATACCATATATACTACTTTTTTGCAGATATCAATAAATTTAATTAAATTAATTTTTTTAAATTTTTTTTTACAACTATTCAAAATGTTTGCAAGATAGCAAAAATTTAATCAATAAATCAACATAAATAATACATGTTTTAATACCAAAATATTTTAGTTTGGGCAATTTTACAGAAGCGTTTAACCTCAATCTGGGTATTGCTCAACTAACAAATAAACAAGTCAAGGTTCGTAAAAAAATATATACCTGTAGTCTCAAAGAAACTAAAACTTTAATATAAAGTGTAGTTTAGTTATCACTTGCACATTCTCTTACAGTATTAGATTACAAAATGACACAAAAATAAACAACTTTCACGTAATTACTGACTGCTTAAAATGAGTCACTGTGTTTATCAACAAACATTATCAATACATAATTTATAAAACAAATATTTAACAGAACACACCAGCAAATGTACTGTAAAAGGTTTCTTAACCCATTATAGAGGCAGAAATTTGTATGTCGTCACTCATACATAATGATAGCATGGGTCAGTAGCGTCTAAATAATTAGCGCGAATCAGTAGCCTCCTGAATGTGATCCGGATCAGACGCGTGTTTGACCACTCACTTGTTATGTGATTCAAGTACATTTATTTATTTTTGATCATTAGTGTAAGAATGCTTTGATCTTTTGTTTAAATCACGGCTATGTCACCTACTAGAGGTAATGTTTTGATTGGTTAAACACTTTTGGTACTAGTGCATATAAGCTTGCTAATATGGATAATTTTTTCATTCCTGATGATGACATAATTAATGTCGAAATATTGAATCCCAACACGATGGCGTGTATTTCAATACTTGGAGTATGTATTATACTTTCTTATCTGAGATTAATCAGTGGACCTTTCGGTTTTTGGAAAACGCTCCGTACTACTGAGCCAGATGTCCATATAGCGACCACCAAATACCAAAAGTGTTATAGGAAACTACGCAAAACGGAACTTGACCTGGATTTTCTCGTTAAATGTCGCGATAACAAGGTATATCCAAAGTTTGTTAGATGGCGAAACCTGAAGTCGGCGCGGAATAAACTACGGAATAAATATCATCGCAGCATTCTAAAGGACGAAATAAAGGACAAGCACTCTCAACTTAAGGTAAGCAAGAAAGATGTGTATAAGAGACAGCTAATAAACAATCCACATACAATCTACTTAAAGTAGTCAGTCATCTGTATGTAGAATAAAAATGAAAATTATGAATTACTGTATGACATGCGC